TGTGTGTGTGTGTGTGTGTGTGTGTGTGTGTGTGTGTGTGTGTAAATACCCTCTTTTCTCTATCTAGTTTCAAAAAAATATTTTTGCACAGTGAATGAGCTGTTGTGGTTTTATTATGAGGTTTTGGGGTGGCCTTCGTTGTATTTTAATCCTGTTCCTCTTCTGAAGCCTCTTACGTCTGTCAAGTTTATATTCTTTAAAAAAATTTGGAAAAATATTTGGTCATTTTTTTGAACATTTTTCCTGTTCTTTTATTTTTCCCTTTTCTGAAGACCACAATGTATATGTGTCCTATTGCCTCACTGGTCTCAATATCTTTCTTAGCTTTTTATATCTGTAAGGAAGCTTCACATGAGATGGATTCTGTTGCTGAACCTCCAAGCATCTTTTTGGCATCACTGTAGAACTCCACCTTCTGGGCATGATGTGGATCCTGACACTCTGGAAATCAGGGCACCCATGACTACTTAGAAGAAATGCTCCCAAGGTCCAGCCATGTCACACCCTCATAGCAGAGGATGTCATCGGACCCTCACCTGAGATTCCAACCACTCACGTGCCTTCCTGACCCCTCACCAGGTACAAGGAATCTCTGCCCCAGCTGCACGTGGTAGACGCTCGTGTCCAGACTGACTGGTGTCGGGACTCCAGTGACTGCTTCACGCGCCATCATGAATGCAGGCTGGGACTTGTTGGTGAGGTAGATATCCCTTCACATAATTCAGACAAATTCACGGTTCACCAGGCTGGACGTGGACAAATAATTCCTTTGTTCTACTGGTGCCCGACCTGAGGTGAAGAGATGCTCTGAAGTCTCCCCAGAAAAGTTGGGCAGCAGTTACATCTCTCCTGTTATTAACGCCTTCATCAAGGAAAACTCACTTCGGATGGTGAACTCTGACTCTGTATATTGCTGCCCCTTCCTCACTGCACTCACGGTTCACTTTTCACCAGTTCACCATACTGAGGATTTTTATGACCATGCTGCCAGGTCTTTGCTAATGTCTTTACTCTGTCATTTTGGAGCTTGTGATATTGACTGATTCCCCACACACACACCCCACCCGCCGCCGCCGCCGCCGCATTTTGTATGTCTTGCAATTTTCTTTAATCAGATGCTAAGCACTGTGAACTTGGCATTAATGCTGACTTTAATTCCTTTTTAAAAAATGCTGTCCATTGTTCTGTTGGGAACTAAATCTTTTGTAGATTAGTTTAAATCTTTTCATGCTTTTTCTAAAGCTTTTCAGAGAGTGTCTAAATTACCCTCTACCCCTGGGCTATTTTCACCCCACCACTAACAGGTGAGCCTTAACAGAATGGATGCACCATGTGTGACGTAAGCTCTCTATTCGCATCTATACATCTCATTTAAAATGTTATGTAAATTTCTAGTCCTTAAAAGTTATTATTACAAATTATTTAAGATAATTAAGAAATGTAAGCCGGGCGGTGGTGGCACACGCCTTTAATCCCAGCACTCGGGAGGCAGAGCCAGGCAGATCTCTGTGAGTTCGAGGCCAGCCTGGGCTACCAAGTGAG